CGTCGATATATCGATTCGAGACCAGACGGAACGATCTTATTGCGTGTGCAGCGTGCGAATAGAGAAAAGAAGGATGCGACGTGGTGGAAAAGAGGTCAATCGCGGGTGGTTCTAAAGATACTGCAGCCTCAAATCTTGCTATGTAGCTCGATAAGCTCGCAGTGTATAGTTAGTTCCTTCTACTCTCGTCTACTCGCGACTAACCTCGTTGCACCGTATCGTAAAAAAGAATACGCGGAAAATGCGAATCCTAACCTAAAACGCGTGACCAATTTGAGTAAGAAGTTGGACCAACTAAACAAACTAAAGGAACAAAATATATCCAATCTAAGTCCGACGACGAAGGATTAAATAATGCGACAGTTTCCATTTGCCTGAAGGAATTACTGGCATTTACAATTACGAAACTTTCACCGATTCTCTCCGGCATCTCGACGAAAAAGAGAGAAAAACTCGCGGTATTCCGAGCATCGCGGGCTCGAGTAGAGTACCGGTCAGCCGGCGTCCGAGTCCACGTCGTCCTCTCCCAGTCTCTAAGACGTAATTTATGCTAAACGTTTCACGTCGTGGAAGCCGCGCATCGGCGTACACCCGAGTCAGCCATTCATCCGACGCCCTTCTCCGCTTGTTCCTTCGTCTGGGACGCGAATCACGCAGCCTTTTCGGCCGTGGGACCACGATCCTCTGTCTCTTTCGGTCCCACCTTCTCTTCGTCGTTTCCCCACCTTCCGCGCGGTTGCTTTACGTGTGTATACATATATATATATATATATATATATATATATATATATAGATATAAATACACACACGCGCGCGCGCGTATTTATATATACGTACACATATACATACGTACATATATGTGTATATATATATATACGTATGCGCGCCACCTTTATATCCTCTCTATCCTTGGCCGTCTCTGTCGGTCGCGCGGCGCGAGCCTTTCATTCGTCCTTCTCTCTTTCTCTCTGTGCTCGACGTCCTCCGGTCGGTACCCACGATCCTCGAGTATGTACGATACGCGGCCCCGCTTGCTTTGTGGACCGCGGACACACAGGAAGGATAAGGGAAAGAAAGGAATTTTTTTAATCATTCTTTCAACCACCCCGATCATCTTTGTCCCAACCCCCGTCCGCGCGACAATGAGGATTACATTACCCGTGGAATTATCGATAAGAATTCGCGATCCGACGGAATCCAGAAACTAAAGCAGAGGCGAAGCTAGATGGCGACCTTGTCGCTAGGTCGCAGCTAACGCCTAGTTTTCCCATCTACGTATTACGTATTCGTGCACGTACTTCCTCGTAACGTTCTTCTCGACGCACACGCGTGTGATTTAGACGAAATACCATGGCGTCGCGTTTCAGAATGAAAATACGAAGAATAAAATATCTAGAGGCGCGAGGAAAACAGAACCAGGAGAATTCCTCGACGATCCCGCACAGTGGCAGCACTGTCGCGAGTCGTGCTGTTTTAATAAGTCTCTGAAACGCGGTGTAACGTAAAGCAATTAACCCGGAGAAGGCGGAGTGAAAGAGAGGAAGAGCGACTCTCGATCTTGATGCAACCAGACGAAGGTTACGATTACGTGTATCAAGCTCGGCTCCTCTGTCTTTTCCAGCCTCTTAATTAACGGCAGACACGCGTACCCCAGACAAACACGCTTGCGCCACCTCTTCTCGGTTATTTCCCGTCCAACTTTCGGTAACCCGACCGGGGCCCCCCCGCTACGGGACTTTTTTTATCTCGCGATCAGGCCGACAGAGGGTAATTAAGAAAGGAATTCACGAATGAATCTGGCGTGGAAAATCGCGAGGATGCCTATTTATTCCGTCATCTCGTGTCTTCGTAGCCGAATAAAAGAAGTCTACCCGCGTTACTCGGCTAACTGTTATTAATGATACATTGTTGCTTTTGCGTCTACGAACCGCGACTCCCGGTAGCACCTCTAATTAGCGCGTTTCCGGCACGTCGATCCGTGCCCAGGCTTCGGAGGATTTCTCGCTCGTTGGAGACGCGATGGGGATTTTAATCTTCATGCCAGTCGTACTTCTTCGCGTGGATGATCGTCGGGGGTTCGATATCGAGGCCCATAGGAGAGTAGTGGCGAGATTATAGCAGCGAGTTAGGCGAGGGTCGCTTTTTTGCCGGACGGAAACCCATTCTCACGCACCGGCGCAACGAAAATAAATCCGACACTCCAAATAGCGATTACACGTTACGACGCCGCCTATTCCTTTTCCCGGCGTCGCCCGCCGCTTACGTAGACTACCGTGCCGATTCAAAGGTTGCTTCCACACGCAGGATTCCGACCAGCCTCTCTTCCGAGAACGCCACCTTTTTTTTCTCCCGTCGTCGTCGAGAAGAGTTGCGTTGGAACCGGCACAGACTTTTGCCGACCGATATAGCCCGCAATATCGGCCGATACCGCTGTCGAGTGGGTGGAGTGGGGGGCGAGACAGAGGGCAGCAGGTTAGACGACACGGTAGAAAAATTTCGACGGGAGAATACCGGCAGGAAGATAAATAAATAGCCATCGGGTGGTGGAAAAGAGCGCAAAATGATAGAGAACGGTCGGAAACGCGACGAAAAGCGAGGGAAAGGAACGGGTACACAGCAGATTTTTGAAGTGAGACCGAGAACTGGCGCAGAGGTGGCGCGAGGGGCGCCATATGGGTTAGTAAATTTAACTCTGCCCGCGAGAGAGCTCCGGAGTCGACGAGGACGGCGAACACGGGGAGAGAGAGAGAGAGGACGAGAGAGAGATTACGAGGGAAGTGTAGAAGCACAAAAGGCCTAGCCATCTGCCAGTGGCCCTGCAGTGCGTCTCATAGGCAGAAGTACGCGAACAGCAACGAGAGAACTGACGTACACCAGGGATGGTGAGCAAACATTGGCGTAGACACGGTGCACGATGATGGCACGCGTTAACGAGCGGACTGATGCGCCACCTCGTGGATGTGTCGCTTTATGTAACGAAGGTGTTTGAACTTGATGGCATTCTCGCTCATTTACGGTACTACTCCGCAGCCTAATCAAGATATCCTAATTAATAAGCATACCTAATCTCTGTATATCTTTAAGAGAATTTCATTACTACGACAAACCGTATATACATATACGTATAGGAAATATTAATTATGCAGGTTAATATTTCTTCGTCGATTTTTCCCAACTATGTAAAGACTAGTCTATGACCGTTCCGTCGCGTTGAAAAATCCACCGTTCCCGCCAATGGCAGGAATTATCGAAGCAACAAACAAGCAAGTAATAGCAGCAACAGCAGGAGGGAGAGACAAGTGCCATGGTCGGTCTCTCTTACTCTGCTGGTCCTCGCACCATCTGCCATTCGTTTGGTCATCCTCGTCGCACCGTGGCGCGCGGCTGTGCGTGCACGCGCACACCGTGCCACGAAACGTTCGCTTTTAATGCGATCGACCTGCCTTTCTTTCGTCGTGATCGCGAGAAAGTAGGAAGCAAGAGGACGAGGGGGGCTGTATTTTTGCCTTGTCGCGAATTACGCTCCTTCCCCCCTCCTTTCTTTTTTTTCCCCACGAGATTAATTACTTCGGACGACCGGTTACGCGTGCGGGCAGGTGCCACGTATCTTCATGAGATTTTTACGCAATTCCCGCTGCTGTTCGACAATGGGTAAAACAGTTCGCTGTTAAAAACGAGGAAGTCGCAGCCACCCCTAATCAGCCAATTTGCTTCTCAATTTTCCTTTATCGGCCCTAGCGGAAATGGGAGGAAGTACCACGTGACACCGAAGAAACCTTTACGACCATTTCGAATGGCTGTATACGTCGATATAGCACCGACGGAACGAGTCGAGATAAAAAAGGTTAATAGTTTCGGCCAACTGTACAACGTATTGCAAAGGGATACTCTTCCTCGGTTCTACAGGGTGATATAAAATTGGCAAACGCGAAAATCCAAAACCAGCATTGCTTTTTATTACCGATCATTACGCGTGATCATAACCGTATGTATGATCATAACCTCTTCTAACCTCCAATTGCGGTACTCTCGAGCCACGTCGTAAAGTACGAAAGCATCAGCTGACCTGGCTACAATTTAGCTCGCGCCCAGGACTAATTCACCGAGAATGTGAAAAGATAGGAAGCAAAGATCGGTCTGATACAACGGGCGATTTTTACTCCCCGGTGAGCTCGCGCATGTCTCCCTCATGGTTAAGTCAACGAAGAGGTCTTAATTTTCCGCGCGCGCTCATTATTCGAGACAAGGATCAAAGTTGCGAGCCGCGTTCGCCGACCGGTGTCGTTTCTCCTCGACAGAGATCGTGGAAGCTATGTACTACAGAGAATCGGCTAACTGTACCCGAAAGACGCCACAACACGCGCTTGCTGCCAACGTTAAAACGCTCCATAATCTTTCTCTCTTAGCTGGCGTGACGCTGACTAGCGGAAAAAAAGGAAAAGAAAAAATCACGATCGTCGGGGAAGATTATTGCTAGAAACGAAGTCTCCGCGAATGGCGAACGTTTATTTAATAGACGTTTCGCGAACGAACGTGAGAAAAACACGATCGCGGCCGATGGCATTAATAATGAATCGATTTTTTTCCGCCATTTGTTACGCGCTGCAGTTTTCAGTTCCGCCTACGTTACCGACCATTTTTCGCGCCGCGCGCGCCGCACGCGATATGTTAATGTCACACGGTTGCAAAAATGCGAAGAAGCGGAAGCAGAGACCACTGACGATGTTTCATTTATCTGCTCGATCGCATAGTTCTGTCTGGCGTCGACCATATTTTTAACACGGATGCTCGTAAATCGTCGAGCGTTGTTTCATACGCGCAATTGCTAAATGCGTTTTATGTGTTCTGGGACACATAACCTCTAATCGCTCGCCGACGTAAGAAATTTCACGCGGAAGTTAATCGAAATATCGTGCTCGACTAAGCCATCCGATTCATAAACCGGAGATTACGATTATTATTTTAAGAGATTAACGCACAAGGCGTGTAGAAACACTTACCGGCCACCTGAAGTTGAATGGAAATCTGATGGGATTGGTGAAGCTTGGCATGGCGACGTTCGGGCTGAAATTAACGATGTTCTCGCCGAGGACGGGTGTGACGACGTCGCCGTACGTGCACTCCGTCGTCGTGTCGATCTTCACTTGATATTCTTTCAAGCAGACCCTGAACTTGGTCTTACAAACGCCTGAGCACTCGCCAGTCTTGGAAGCACTGCCTGAACAACACTTGCCCAGACTGTCTTTCCCATACTCGTTCACGAATGATTTCAGCCTCAATTCGAACACCCCATAAGCGTTAACCTGAAAGCAATTGCATTCGATTGAACAAAAATATCGATAAACGAATAACCGTTTGTATCCGTAATTATGCAAGCATACCAACGATCACATAACCTATAACGGGAATATTTCTTAACGCACTGATCCACGGAACTCAACACCAGCGCCACTAGGTTAGAAAAATTCAACACGCGGATAGTTCGCGATTGTGCCACCGACGCGACATTCTATACCCTGTGTTGACTTGTTTCCACGAACTGTCAGCGACGACAGAAGATGCAAGAAAACCGACGAATTCTCCAAGAGAGCGCGCGACGCGCGACAAACAAACTTAGTTAATACTCCCCACGTCGGGGGTCGTCTCGTGCCCAACGACCGAACAACACGCCGCCGGGGCAGCACGTGTGTAAGCGCGTTTTTGCGCACGCGTGTATCTTCTGCGCTGCACGTCTCCCAGGAGGAGCAGAGATATCTGTGCGAGTGACCCGGCAAAAAGTGCTTTTTTTCGCTCGGCAAGACGCGAGCGAGAGAGTACTGGTAAGAAAAGAAGGAATGGAAGAGGGGTAAAGGCGCAGATGGACATTTCGCCACGCGTGCTGCCGAGCCTCGACGATCGTGGAACACGAGGGGCGTTTTCGTGCAGAGAGAAAAAAAGAAAGCGCCCTGGAACCAGTCGTAAACGTATTAACGTATGCTACCGCTGTTCCTCGTCGCGCCAAACTAACGTCACGAGGAATTAATCGCGATCCTCGATGCGTGTCGAACAACGAGAACTGCATAAGTAGCGACATCTGACGGATTTTCGTATTTTATCGAATTCAATCCTCGAACTGTGGAATGAATCGGACAGATAGTTGCCACTTTGTAACGGAACGTTCGCTATCCTACATTGTTACTCTGCAGAAAACGTAAAAGCCGTAACACATGTAGAGGTTAAGTTTCGTGAATCAGAGAGCAATCTGGGAGGAATGGTTTTCCTTCGGCGACAGTATCCAGTGTAAACAGAGCCGATGTGTCAATATTTCTCCGGTTCTACCCTACTCTTTGTCGTCGTTCGGACGGCAAGAGTTCTTGACCACTGTGGACAATGGCCTACGGCTATGTGCAAACACATACACGCTCACACGCGCGCAGGTGCGCAAGTGCAGACACAGAGGCAGCGTATAGGCTAGCAGCAGACACCGAGAGAGCCTTCCCACGAGACATTGTATAGCCGAGCAAAACTATACATATATCGTGTCTCACGTGAACGAGAGGAGCGCACTAACCTTACTATCGAGCCTGCGGATCGTTTTACGATCTCGCCGTGGCCCTCCTGCGCGTCCATTATACCCCCATTGCGATCTTCGAATTTCGTACTCGAACACCGACATTCTTACCTTTCTTCTTTTTTCTTTTTTTTTTAACTGGTAAAAAAATGACATAAAAAAGTGATGATTCTTTTTACCGAATTTACGTTAAAACGATCGTTTCACACACGTTTTTTTTTTTGCGAGCAGAGAAAGAAAATACGGAGGCGTTTTATGAGTTGTAAGATTGGAAAGAGAAAAATATACACGAGACTCGAACTTTCGCGATCGAACGAAAGAAATATTTCCTCGCGAACGTTTCTTATTACGCGTCGTAAAACACAGCAGGTTAGAGGTAACGCGTACACACAAGCGGCTCACCACGATCCTCGATGAGGAATTCTCATTTTTGGCGCGCTGGAGCGCTATTCTTGGAACGAGAATGGCCGCCGCCGACTATTTACGGATACAACCGGCGTTATTTCGTCACAAAACAATTTTCTACAAGCACCCTTTAAGCACCGTGGCACCGCATCGTATTATGCCGCGTATCACTCGATGCTACTCGATTTCCATGACTCGAGACAACGAAGGGGTTAGGTTCGGCGGGTTTTCAAGTACCGGCTGCAGGACGAAAAGAAGTTATCGAAAAGAGAGAAGACGCGTCGGTAATGCCGTGGAACGAGTGCGAGGAAAGCAGACGAGAAGAAGCTAGACACTTCTAAAAGAGTGGTTCCAGATTTAGAGTTGTTGTATGCCGGCGAAATACTGTTGCCACTGGTTTTCTCCTCTTTCGTCGGATGCTTCGAGACATGGCCGACAGAGAAAGAAAAGGACGCTGGGTAGGAGCGACAAGGAGGAAGCGAAAGAAACAAGGACTCCGCGAGAAAGAGAGAGAGGCATAGAGTGAAAAAACATCTCTCCCAGGAAGAACACACTTGGAACCCGTGGTGACTAGCGCGTGAAAAAGGAACGAAACTATTATACACGCAATCACGAAATTACAACGTCGTTACGCCGATTTCACGAAATCGAATTCTAACCTCTTCCGCCCGAAAACGGGCGACTGGGGGAAAAATGGATCGAAGGCGAGTTAAAATTGGAAAGCATTCTGCAGCTCGATCGAACCGTTTTATTTACACACATTTACAGATATAGCGTTCGACTGGATAAATATAAGCCGCGATCGCACTTACGCAAGTACTTAATTAGACGCGGGAGAACGTATCGCTGGTGTGCGCGCGCACACACATCGGAACGAGACTGGTAAATATATAGGGACGAGCTTCTATTCTGAACGCACCCATCGATGGCGTGTCATCGTTTTTACCATAAATACCAACAGAGCTTACGACCGGTTTGACAGACGGGAACGGATTCCGAACCAAAACACCGCGCCATTCATCGACAGCGACGAAGGTCGCTACGATGTGTCTTCGAGTTGACAAACGTATCTCCCTCTATGCCTCGTTTGACAACACGCCACACAGATTAGATCCGTTGACAAAATAATTCGTTCATATATACAACCATCGTTTCTTAGTCGCGAGGGAACTGCATGTTCCGAAAGCCGCGATTCTCGTTCGATTCTATCGGGGCGCGTATTATCGATCGAACGGTTAGTTGGTCCTTTTGCAACTTTTATAGAGAGGTGGCGCAGCGATTACGTTCTATCCAACGTTCCCATGAAACCGATCGAAGCGATGATTGACGCGGCGCGCGAGTCGATCAGGGGTAAAAAAGCCGGCTCGATGTAAGTCGATACGTCGCGCATCTCGATTACTTTTATTCGATGGCGAGTTAGACGAAACATCGAACTGTCTTATCTACATTGTTCCGTATACATCGGTACGCAAGACGCAACGGTATTGCAGTTCGGAAAAACGGAAGGAAGAATAATGTATCTGAGGGGGCGTCAGTTGTAAAAGATCTGGACGTTTAAAAAGACGTTTTGCAACGCGTTATACGGCGACCTACGGATGCCTCTAAAAATAAACAGAAATATTTCCACGAAACTGTCGAGCATCTTTTTCGAGTGGATGTGAAAAAAGAAGAAAGGGCGCCATTTAAATTTTTCACCGATTTCACACTTCACGCCTAAATAAAACTTTTTCTTTTCTTTTATTTTTCGAAGATTTTTACGAAACTTTTTCCGAATTTCGAACAATGGGGGTCGAACTGAACGATGTAACGGGTAAATTAAACGGTAGGAGGTAAAGGGAACGAGATAAAAATTGAAACTTACCGCACGGGGTGCTGGCAGAAGCACGACGGCAGCCGTCCACACGAGCATCGTGGTCCACATGTTTGGTGGTTGTTTCGTTCGATGTTTACACGCCGCCGGTGCGTCGTCGGCGGAGGTGTGTGGACCGTGGTGCTCTGGTGTGCTCGTCGGCGTTACCTCCTCGCCGTAATTTCGCGAGGCTGCATAGCCACCGTACCGTACGAGATACGAGCTACTGTATCCCTCCGACACGCACTTCTTCTTCTGTTTCGTTGACCGATCTCGTGATAGGTGATATGCGTAATCCTCGTTTCGATAGACGATCGAGTGAACTTGGCCGGTTTATACTTCACGCAAGAGGGTAGCAAAGGGAGGGAAAAATTAAAGTCGGAACAAAGCTAACTCGCGGATGACTCGCGCGGTCACTTGGTCTGTAGCACACTGTATAATACACTCGGAAAGAATGATACTGGTATATATTTATTTATATTTATATACGTATATATATTGATGTATATCCGATGGCAAAGAGGTATTCACGGTTGCCGCGAGAAATAGACAAATCACGCGCGATCACTGAACACTGTGTGACACACTTTATTCCATTATCCGTGGGACGCCGAGAGTCGTAGAACAGCTTCGTCCAACAGGGTACGGGATAATACTCTTGCGCGTAGGATCTATGAAAAACACACCGATGGTTTGCGATCCTTCGGGCGACGCCTCACTCTCTCTTTCTATTCGTTGTATACGATTTGAATATCTGTCCTGGTTCTTTCTCTGTCTTTATGCGTGTATATGTATGTATGTGTAGTAGACAGATCGTGTACTCGATGATTTTTTTTTTTTTTAATTTTCGTCGGCTCTTCGATCGATGTTAAAAATCCCACAACTACGCTCGTGTCGAGCGTTCGTTCGCGGCACACGAGCCACTACGTTGACGAGGAGCACGACGATCCGCCACGAGCATAATTTTCCACGAAAAGGCACGTATACAACACTCTCCTCCTCGCCAACCGTCGCAACAACGACGAGTCGCGCACTGACTGACCGTCGACGAACCGTGAGGAATATTCCCTCGGAGACCGCCGGCAAGAGTAGCACGAGAGGAGAAGTGAGGTTGGTGGTGGTGGTGGTGGTGGTAGTGGCGGTGGAGGAGGAAAGAGTAGGAGGATGAAGAGAAGGGTAGTGGCGGAGAGGCGAAGGTGGAGGTGGAGCGAGGATACCCTCGCCGTGTGTGACGAGTCAAAGACGAACGGGAGAGTCAATGTGCTTTTGCCTTCGCACACCGACAGAGGGGAAGAGTTTTCGTAGGGCTAAGGGGAGGGGGAAGACAGGAGAAGTTACACACCATAGAGAGAACCGGCACGAAAGGCACTACTCCGCAGCTGAGCTACTACTGGATCCAGAGATGCGCCCCTTAGCCCGCGGTACCGGTGCCAGTAAGCCCGTATTTTCCTTTGTGAAAGTATTGTTCGATCGTGTGCGTACGTACGTCCGTATACGAGTACAGCTTGATCTCACTCTGTGCTCTGTTAAATGCACTTCTATCCTTCTCCGTTCTCTCGATATGTACACCGTGTATGTGTACGATCGTACTCCCACCAAAAAAGCTGTGTATCGTCGAACGTGTTTCCGCGCCACTAACAGGCAACACTAGCGCCACACTGTGGTCACTCGGGGAAGCACTATAACCATCGACTGCTCACGAAACACTAGCAGCGCGCGATCGACAGATGGCGAGTCCGATCTCGGTTGCTTTCGCGTGCACGATGACCGTATAGAACTCTGCTTCGAATCCTGTTGACTATACGTATCTGCGCGCGCGCCTTCGCTCCTAGTTACTCTTTCTATCTCTATCCTTCTGCTATGACAAGACAGGGAATATTTTTGGATAGTAGAGCAGTAAACTATACCGTCTTTCTCTCAGCTAAACGCTCCTCTCTTTTCCGTTCACGCATGCGCTTTAATCTCTGGAACGACGGGCTATGTATCCGCGTGTCTACACCACGGCGTGCAACCCTCGACTGGAGGTAGTAAGCCGGGAGCACCCCTACTTATAATTGTGGTCCCGCCGGGCCCCCGGCGGGAGGGGTTGGCCAACTAGAGGGGTGGTGGGTAGCGGCTGCGCCGGTGGCACGACGTGTGGAACTCTAGAGGGGTACGGGGAACTTGGGCAAGGGGTCATGAGGGGAAGAGGATGGTAAAAGAGGCAGCTGCAGGCCGGCTGCACGCGCCCACCCCCACCACCATAGCCCCTGTACGACACCCCAGCCACTCGTGCGGACTTCTTGCCCGCTTTGCTTGCCTGCCTGCTTGCCTGCCTGCTTGCCTGCCTGCTTGTCTGTCGTAGACTCCTCGGGGCGCCTGTCTTCTCTCCCTCCCGCCCGCCCTCCTTCTACACCCCGCCTCACCACCTCCTGCTCCGTCTTTATATCTTCGTCCTCCTCCTTCTTCGGCTCCTTCTTCTGCTTTTCTGCTCTTACCTCCCCTCGTTCCAAGTTGCACCGGTTACACTCCCCAGCTTGTCTCTTGTCTCTGTTCCACGAGCCACGATAACTCGTACCCCATCCGACGGCACGCGCCGCGTGCCACCTCCTCGTGACGTCATACCCTTCTTTTTAAGCGTATTACGCTTCTTACGCGCCGCGATACGCTCACAGAGCGAACGGGTTACCAGAGTCCGGGCTGGATATGTGCCTGGCCATCCACTGGCCGCTCCTCGTTAATTTCATTATGTCCAAGTGTTGCTCCTTCCTCCTCCTTCTTATCCCCCGAACTCTCCTTGCTTCGAAGCAAATTATTCTAGGTAATAATGATCGGAACGTGTCTCTTCGTCATATCATCTCGCGACAATATCTTCGCCAGTCAGGGGCTCCTTAATTCGATCCTTGTTTTTCTTTTTTTACAATTTTCCATGGCTACACGTACCCAAGCATGTGAAGCATCGTTTCGTGGCCCTTGCAAGCGTGTGGCACCCCGGTATCTGTACTTGATTCGCTCGCGGGCTTTCAAGAGTCGGGCTCCCCATTCGGCCAACGTTTCTGGTCTCGTCACCCTTCCCGATTCTTTCACCGGCCGGGTAATACGCAAAAGTCTCCTGGGCCAGTGTGACGTCACTCGTTGCAAAACCTGATGGGGTGCGGTGAACCCCACTACGTCCCTTGTTCGGTCCTTCTATGCGAAAAGCGTAAGTATACGTGGCACAGTGTTCGGGGTGACAGATTATTACGGTGTGCATACTGCTCGTCGCGGACCTTTGTGCTCGGAACATAATGCCCTGGACCTGTCTCGAGCACGAATCGACGTCTCCTATTGTTCCCCGGCGCGAATCGCATTTTTCGTTCCCTCTTCGCCCTTTTCGACCCTTTATTTAGTTTTCGCAGCCTGTCCCGCAAAGTGCCGTCGGCAATGGTGCAATCGTAAATCTAACGTTATGGCTCGCGCCGACTGACTGTCCTGCTCGTAAAATTCCCCTGGTCTTCGACTCCATTTTGTCCACCGTATTATCATCTTCGATCCCTTCGTATCGTTCGACCATGTCGTTTATTCGAGATACTGGCACGACCTGGAACCAGAATATCGTGTCATCATAAATGGAGAGACAGGGGTGTATACTAACAGAAGGATGAAATCATGGCCCCGTGATCGAGTAAACAGACATAAGAGAAGTGATAACGTGTCACGGGGCAGAAAGAAGCCTTTGTTATTTTCGCGGTATACACCATGGGGACGTGAGGCAACCATGGTGCCCGTAGGTGTATGGTATACTTCCGGTCACGAGGTGGTTCAACAGGTCAGACCAACAGGGGAGCCAGATGGAACCACTTCCGGCTTCGCTTCTGCCACTACGCCGCAAGTAGTCCTTCCTTTCCATCCTTTTCTGCGCACTCTCTGCATACACGCACCGTCTCGTACACCTTTTCGTCCTCGATCGCACTTGTATGGATCGCTTTTTCTCTCCCTCTGCTTGTGTACAAACAGATTAAGATACGGAGATAACACCTGGAAATTACAGGCCAGATTACTCTCTATATAAACAGCCCCTGCTGGAAACTTTATCCGTTAGATCGATCTCAATCTACTCACCGATATCTCTATTAACAACATTACGTGATCCTCTACCTACGTTGCCCTAGTCCCCAGAGAGAGTCTCCAGCGTTAAGAATCTTTGATTCGCTGAATCTATAAAAGACACGTAGCTTCGTTAAATGGTGCCAATTTGCAACGATGAGCAAATCGATCGAATTACTGTTATCAGTCGTGCCGATTGCATTAACCCCGTAACCTGAAATTTTTCTGCCAATTTTCTCGACTAATTGTCACCTGCGAAACGCACATCGAATTCCTCGGACTGCCAGGTCGCAACGTGGCAGTTCGGTCGATAGGCACGGAGCACGTGAATCCGTCACGCGACTCCCTTCGTTCCTTTCTTCGTTCGCCGCTCTTTCATTCATACGTGCTGCCATATAGAAGAGCGTTTCATGTATGGCATGCACAAGAACGAGAACGGGCGAAAGATAGAGAAAGAAAGAAAGACCGTGACGCATCGGCACATGCGCTCGTTGCACTGGTATGCGTACTTAGGCCGGACTCAATGAACTGCTGACGCTTAAGGTATACTACACGACACGTGTGTACGCGTTCTTGCACGCTATGATTGGTAGTTTGCGGTCATTCTCTACGGTTCTCCACGAGACCAGCCATTTACGCAGTCCTAACACTTTATCGCTTCGTTAATCCCGTGGATCGATCGATCGATCGATGGATGGACTGGACGGTCGGGCTGCCGTGCAAGTAACCGGTGATTTCCTTAATTCCACCCTACCCCTTCTTTCTCCTTTCTTTTCGCCTCTTTGTTTCAATGTCGTCCATCTGCTTGTTTATTCCGGCTCCTTAGCAGAGCTTAATTTCTGTTTGATTGCAGCATCTGCCGCGTGGAAATGAAGGTAAAAAGCAACGGACGAGAATAAAGGGGTGCAGGCCGATTCTAAATTGTCGACGGGGTTTACGAATCCTGTTCACCAAATTTTATCATTTCGTCTCAGACGACGATCATGCTTCCCCTCGTGTATACGCGAAGAATGCTCTTTCTTCTCATACCAGCACGAGTAACGTTGACGATAATGCAAAAATGTGCAATATGGTCGATGCACGATGGTAATTCGATTAATTAGCGACGTTCACGTGAACGTTGCACGCGCGCCCGGTATGCCCAGGTTTAAATTTCATCGGGTGCCTCCACCGACCGGGGCGACAATCGCCTCCATGTGGCTGTGGCAGCGCGCAGGTGAAGCACAAATTGGCCCATCTCAAGCGACAGACACCAATGATCGTAGATACACCGATTATGTTAATTCGAAGTTGCTCGATCGTCTCTTTATTCGATCGTTAGCCCCGTTCTGTTACGCGGACGGCCCTGGGTGAAACGGTGCCGCTTAATTTCCACTTATCTGGC